ATACCACAATCCCAGACACACATAAGTCCCTCTTTGTTCTCACCCTTCCTTCTACCCAAAAAGCTTTCCCCTCCTGTCCAGATGCCTCCATGGCAGTCAATTATAAGACCTTCCCTAAAACCCCTCACTCCTTAGGAAGAACTGACCTACCTTCCCTTTATGCCCCATTTGAGTAATCGTCATAAACAACAACAAGATCTCTTTATTGAACTTTGTTTTTATGTACTTTTTATTTCAATTTAGTATCAAAACAGCCCCACAAGATGGATGTGGTTAGCTCCACTTGATAGAGGAGACATCTAGAGCTCAGAGAAGTGAAGTGACTTTCCTGAGGTCACACAGATGAGTAACTTGAGGATCCGTGATCCAACCTGGAACACCTGCCTCGGAAGCTCAGGCCCTTACGTATCTACCCCACCCCAACTGAGTTACGGAAGGGCTGGCACGTTTTCTCAGTCACTTTTGCATCTTCAGCGCCCAGTTGGTGCTTAGTAAATATTGATGGGAATGACTCATGAATGAATAAATGGATGAAAACTGAGTTATAATGAACTGGAGTCTATAAATATGCTCACATGCACTTACATTTGCAGAGACAATGCTAACAGTTCTTGAGAACCATTTATTCATTCAATATAAAAAGTGCCTATTGGAAATGTACTGTGTGTGAAACGTTGGGGATATTGTGGGAAGCAGAACTCTCCTGGTCCTTAACCTTCAAGAGTGCATAAAATAGAGGAGGAGAAAAACTGAAAATAGTCAACAATATCACAAATGGAAATGTATTTGCAACGTATTAAAAAAGTGAAGAAGAGAGTGTGGGGCACTAAAGAGAGGAGTGTGGTTAGACAGAGGGGGCCAGGAACACTCTCCAAGTGAGAAATATTTAAGGTTGAATGGAACTCATCCAGAGAAAAATTAGGGGAGAGTGTTCCAGGCAGAAGGAATGGCACATGCAAAGGCACCAGTGCAAGACTAAGAGCTTAGAGTCTTCCAGAAAGTACCAGAAGCCCAGCATGGACAAAGCAAAGAGCAGGGGCAATGGAAGCAGACAGAGCTAGAGACACAGGTAGAACCAGAAGATGCAGTGCCTCATGGGCCTCATTAAGTGTTCTGGGTTCCAGCCAAAGGGCCATGGGAAGCCTCTGAAAGGTGTGAAGCAGGGAAGGGACGCGCGTCAATCTGCTCCTGTTCTGTGGGCAGTGCGAGCAAAGAAGGAAGCAAGAAACAGGCAGAGAGACTGGCCAGTGCCGTCATCCAGATGGGAGACACCTGGGCCACAGGCGGTGATGGGAAATGGGTGGATGCGAGATCCCTTTGGAAGCAGGATATGGAGCACCGATGATATTGACATAACTCAGACATGTCCGCACATGAACCCACAGTGGAGTAAAGGCAGTATGGACTTTGGAAACAGATAAGAATTTTTTTTTTTTTTTTTTTTTTTTTTTGAGATGGAATCTTGATCTGTCGCCCAGGCTGGAGTGCAGTGGCACGATCTTGGCTCACTGCAACTTCCGCCTCCCGGGTTCAAGCCATTCTGCTGCCTCGGCCTCCTGAGTAGCTGGGACTACAGGCACCCGCCACCACGCCCCACTAATTTTTGTATTTTTAGTAGAGATGGAGTTTCACCGTGTTGACCAGGCTGGTCTCCAACCCCTGACCTCAAGTGATCTGCCCGCCTTGGCCTCCCAAAGTCCTGGGATTACAGGCATGAGCCACCGCACCTGGCCAGGAAACAGATAAGATTCTAATTCATCATCTATCGTTCATGGCTGTGTGGTTCGAGGCAGGTCACTGACCTCTTAAAGCCTTGGTTTCCTCAACTGGAAAATAAGAGAATCAACCTCCCCAGGACCCTTGTCATTGAATGAGATGATGCATATGACAGTGTGGAGTGCAGTGAGCCCCTCCCAACAACCCAACATCCCTTTGCCGTCTCCAGATACCGATAGCCCAACTTCCATGCTGCCCACCTGATCACTGGGCTCTACTGCCTATGTAAACATTTTTAAAGAAAATGAATCCCCTTATACTCCATGCCAAAGAGAAAATGCAGGCTGGCCTTGGTAGGAAGGCTTGCAACAGCCTGCCAACCTCGTTCCACTAATACTTGTCAGTGGCCACAGTCTCTCATCACTTGAACAGTAACTCAATTACCAGTCCCTGGGCACCTTCAGGCGCAAAGCCTCTCCCATAAGTCCCCCTTGTTTTTCTGAGAAGCCCAGGACACAAGTCAATTTCTTGGCCCTAATGAGAGCTTTTCACCACCTGACAGTAGCTATTGAGTATGTGCTAAGAAAATGCAGCCTTAAGGCCACCTCGGCCGCCTCCCAAGACCAAGGCCCTGGCCAGCCAGGAGGTGCAACGTGGGCTCTGGCACCAGAGCCTCACACAGCAGATGTTGCTGCCTTCAAGGCTGGCCCAATTATGATGTTAACGCCCTGGACGTTAATCCCTGGGTCCTTGCCAGCCAGAACCTGCTCTGCTCTCTGGTTTAATAACACAAGTCCTCTGGAGGGATCAAGTACGGGTCTTGGGAATGCCACACTTTTAACTGGTCAGATTCAAAGCCCAGCTCCTTCTCTGCGTTACAAGCAAGGCCTGAGATTTCCAAGTATTTTAGCCTTGTGAATGCCTGCCCACACCACCACAGGGCAGTCAGTTTTAAGGATTGTGATTGCAACTGAGATTCAGAAAATTAAATGTCGCTTTCTCAAGGAAATAGAAGACATTCATGGAAACTCCTTCAATACAGATTTGCTTTCCCGATACCCAGATTTCTGAGACTTGTTAAATAAACGAGAAGTTCTACGAGGGTAGGGTAAATAGCACAGTGTCTGGCACAGAGTAAAGATTTTTGGCATGAATGGCTAGTCCGGATTCAACTTCAATATCAGATCTATGATGTACAGTTCAATGACTCAGTTGTTTAAAAGTAGAATATCCACTCTGCATTATCAGTGACAATTTCTTAACATCTGTTGCCTCACCCTCTAGAACACCCCTGAGCCACCTTTCCCTCTGTCCAGGTTGTGTGTATGCCACAGAAGCCAGTCCCAAGGGAACCTGATCTAGGCACAAAATCATGGAGGGCTTCCTTGAGGTGGTTGAGTCTATGAGAAATGGAGGGTATGTGGGTGTGAAGCTGGCACTGGTACATTTGGGGGTTGGGGAAGGAACGGGCTTGTGAAGTGCATTCTGAGCAGAGAGAACAGCTTATGCAACATCCCGGGACTGGATTATGGAGAAGGAGGTGGAAAGGGATAGAATGAGATGAAGATGGAGAGAGAAGCAAGGCTCAGACAATGAGGTACTCAGTGGGCCATGTTAAGAATGTTGGTTTTTATTCTTAAAGCAGTGGGAAGTCATTGAAGAGTTTTGAGGGTGAGAAACGGCAGGAGTGAAATGATCAGATCTGATCTCGAACTGACTGGAGAAAAGCCTCGGAGGTATGCAGAAAACCCAGTTGGGAAGTTATACCAGAGAATGAGATGCAAGGAGTTAGTGACTTAGGCCAAGGAGGCAGTGGCAGAGATGAAGAGAAGAGGATGGATTTCAAAAATATTTAGGACCTAATGGATTGTATGTGAGGATGAGGGAAAAGGAAATATCCAGGATGACTCCCAGAATCCTGACTCTCACAACTGGAGATGGTGAGCAGGAGATGCTGGGAAAAAACCACATTGGAGGGATGGGAGGTGAGCGACATGGGAAAGGGAGTGGATCATGAGCTCGGGTTGAAGTGCATTGGAGACAGCCAAGTGGCAACAACTTGTAGTGAGTTGGAGATACGGGAAACTGCCTGCAGGGAGTTTCAAGATATCAGGGCCAGAGTTATAAATGTGGGAGTCACTGATATGGGGGTGCTAACTGAAGCTGCAGTTTCCTGGGCTTTCTTAGGGACAGATGACATCAAAGGGATGCACCATAATTTACTTAACCCTTCTCCCACTATTGGATGTTTGGGTTGTTTCTGTCTTTTAACACGATAAGTGGCCCAGTAACAAGCATCTTTGTTCTCATTTATAGCTTTTTTCCATATTCTAGGTTAACTCTCTCAGTAGCTGATATTACTAACATGGTTAGCAATGAATACCTGCTAAGAGAATAAATATATATGCTCATTCTCCCCAGAATAGAATAAAATAGAAATTCTTTTTTTGATTGACCATTTTTCTTTTCTTTTCTTTTTTTTTTCTTTTTTTTTTTTTTTGAGACGAGGTCTCGCTCTGTTGCCCAGGCTGGAGTGCAGTGGTGCAATCTCAGCTCACTGCAAGTTCTGCCTCCTGGGTTCACGCCATTCTCCTGCCTCAGCCTCCCGAGTAGCTGGGACTACAGGCACTCGCCACCATGCCTGGCTAATTTTTTTTGTATTTTTAGTATAGACGGGGTTTCACCACGTTAGCCAGGATGGTCTCGATCTCCTGACCTCGTGATCCGCCCGCCTCAGCCTCCCAAAGTGCTGGGATTACAGGTGTGAGCCACCTCGCCCCGCCTTGATTGACCATTTTTCATCATGGCCTGTGTAACTTCTTTCTTCCAATGTCTGGGTGATTCATTAAGTTTTCCCTAACCAGGGCAACCAAAGGGACCTTCTTCCTCTGAATTCTCATGGTTAATCCCAGAGACATTCACTCCAATCTTGTCCTTCAGAAGCCTGATATTTTAGGACATATACACACATGAAAGATAATTGTCTTCCCCACTATAAGTTTTTGAGATCTGGGACTATGTTTTATACTTCTTGAATCCTCTGCAGAGCCTAGTAAAACCCGGCACAAGGTCTATGTGTAACAATTACTGTAGATAACTAACTAAGCAAGAGGATAGTAAGAGCTAATCTATTAAACCCCTGCTACATACCAGACCAGACCTGTCCTGGGAGCTTCAAAAACAAAGTCTATTTCAACCCTCCCAAAAAAAATTTTACCCCTGTTTTGCAAAGGTATCGGGGTAATGGTATCTGATATAATAAATAAACTCCCAAATCACAGTGGTTCAATTCATAGAAGTTTATTTCTCATTCACTTTAAGTCCAAAACAGGCAGCTCTCCTCCAAGCATTGATTCGGGGACATATGCCTTTCAGTCATACAGCTCCACTGTCTCCAACACACAGCTTCCGAAGTCACCATGATCCCCTGCCTCAAACCAGAAGGAGAAAAATCATGGCAGATCATCTAGGAGAGGCTCTTATGGGTAGGCTTAGAAGTGACATACATCCCATTCATCACAGCCACTGGTCAGAGCTCAGGCCTGTGGTCACACCCAACCACAAGGAAGGTTGAGAAATGTGGTCAGGCTGAGTGCTAGACTATAGGGAAAACAGCCTTGGGTGGTTCATAGTAGTCTCTGCCACATGAAGATAGAAAGCAAAGCCCAGAGATGCTAAGTAACTTACCTGACATCACTCAGCTTATACACAACTGAATTAGAATTCACTCTCAAGTCTGTATGGCTCGAAAGTCTATGCTGTTTTCACCACATCCTACTGACTGGCAACCATCACTGGGGTCCTCTCCTTCTGGGGTGGCCTCTGAGCTGCATCTGTTTGAATCATCTTGGCAACTGTTTAATTTCACATATAACCCAACTCCAAACTGCAGTGAGAGCGACAGATCCACCGAAACCAACTTTCAGATGTATTTTGCAGATGCATCCTCCGTTTATTTCCAATGTGTTACTGGCTTGCTCCTTTAACAAGTCAATCAACTTACGGGCATGCCCTTGCAGTATGGAGGTACATATTCCTGTTCTAAAGCCCACGTCTTATAAACTTGACATATTCAGATGCTATGCCTTTTATCGTGAGTAAATTAAGCTCTTAAAATGTCAGAATGTTTTTGTTTCATTTGACATTCTCACCATAGGTCAAACTGCCTCCAAAACAGACATGTCTAAATAGCTGTCTAACCATATTGCTCAGAATGACTTTTTAGGAAGTCTAGGACGTCCAGGAGTGTGGTGATCCTGAAGCCCTTGAGCATCAGTAATTCTGTTTGGACACGTTCCCATGTAAGCAATTTACATCTGCTGTGTTATAGATCCAGAGGTTGGAAAACCAAAAGGGATCTTGGGAAGTCATTGGCTCTACCCCTTGGTTTGTAAGCATAAACCTTGGAATCTTAAAGTTGAGAAAAATAATGACATTAGGAAGAACAACAGCAGTTACCCTCCGTGAATGCATTCATTCAACACATAGTTATTGGAAACCCCCTTAGTGCCAAACACTGTTATAGAATCTGAAGATATGGAGCTGGCATTCTGATGGGAGAAAGAGTGAATGCACAAATAAATATAAAATGAGTTAGGTGTTGATACGTGCTTTGAAGACACATAAAGTAAGGAGAAGGATGCAGAATGATCCGGTAGGAAGTTGTGAGGTTATGCAGTGGCTAGGGAGGGTCACTCTGACATTTGAGCAAAGACCTGAAGAAGTGAGGTAGTGAGGCTCTAGGTAGAGAGAACAGTTAGCAAAGAGGCTTGAAGGGAGAATATGCTTGGCATCTTCCAGAAACAGCAAGTAGATTGGGTGAGCTGGAGGGGTGAATGGTAGGAGAGGTGGCAAAGAAGATTCGGAAGGGGGATAGATTGGGTAAGGTCTTATAGCCCAGCAAAGGATGCTGGGCTTTACTTGGGCTGAGATAAGCAGCCTTGAAGGGTAAGGATATCTAGAGAAGAGAGGTTTGAGGATGAAGACCTGGGCATTCCACCATTTAGGGGTCTAGAAGATGAGGAGGAACCCACAAAGAGACTGAGAATGAGTAGCCAGTGAGGTAGGAAGAGAACCAAGCGATGGGGTGCCCGAAGGCAAGTGAGAAAGGGGTTCAAGGAGGGAGTGAGCAACCAATTAAATGCCACTGATGGGTCAAGTAAGATGAGGACAGATAACTGACCATCAGATCTGACAAGCAGAGGTCACTGGTAAACATATCATGAGTCATGAGAGGATGCTGGAGGTGAAAAACTAATGGGAGAGAGAGAGAGAGAGAGAAGCAGCGAGACAAAAGGGATTGAGAGAGAGAGAGAGAGAGAATCTCCTAGTATTAGCTGGGCATAGCACAGGTTCTTTACATGAATTTCCCAATTTAATTCACAGGACCACCTTGATTGCAGGGGGACAGTCAGTTGTTTTTTCCTTTTTACAAATGAGGCCCAGGGGGATCACACAGCTCCTACGTGTGAAAGCTGGACTTGGTCTTCCCGTGTGCCAGACCTCAGAGTTCCCCTCTTCTTTCCTCCAAGCAGCCTATGTCTTCCAGAGGCCATCTGGGGCAGCCGACATAAAATGGATTCCCACTTAAAAAAAAAAAAAGTCAGAAAATAGGTCATTCAGCTTCCCTTTGAACAGTGCCTGAATCTCTCTAATGATTAGCATCTCTCCTTTCGCGTTGTAATTACAGAGGTTCCATAATCCACCCCTGTACATGACCACACAGTGTGGCGTGTTCTTCAAGGAAGTTCTTCCTTGCATTACTCCACTTCTTTCCTTGTTAAAAATAAAACCTTTCTTTGAATAGGAAAATGATTCCAATTCCTATTGAATCCAACTCTCAGAAGGGCATGAGCATTGGAGTCCTTTTTCCATCTCAGACCCTAGCCTGAAGTCCAGCCCTAGCCAGAAAGCCCATGTCCCTGCTGGAATATCCATCTGGTTGTCCCGCTGGCCCTCATATCTGTTGAGATGCTTTGAGTTGCAGGTAAGAAAACACAACCCAAACTGGCTTCACAGTAATAAATAAATAAATAAATAAATGAGTTGCTCACATAACCAGGCAGCTCTACCTCGTTCACCTGTTTTTCTTACTATCCTGAGGCTGAGAGAAGACAGGACGGTGCCTTGGGGCCACACATCCACAAAGGACCAGAAAGGGTCACTTCCGGATGCTTTTCGATAAAAACAAGGAAGATACTTTCCCAGAAGACCCCACAAAACCTTTCTTCCTGTCTCTTTGGCCCAAGTGGGTCACAGGACCACTCTCATGCTAGTCATTGGTCAAGGATAGGTTACCTGCCTGGCCAGGAAGACCATCCCGGGGCGAGGGTGGGGCCATCTTCCCTGGAAGGACACTGCTGACACAGAGGCGGGGGCTGACAGGCAGTAGTTTCACAAGATCAGGGTCCTGTGAGAAGGGAGGAAGGGTCACATGGACCCCAGGGAAGTGACACACCACATCTCCTACATCTGAGTCCATAACTTAACTCGCCTTCTTCACCTTCCTCCGCTGAATTGGAGTGGATGAAAACACCATCTGTGAACTTACAGAACCCAGGAAACAGGAGCTCCCTCGTCCTCGCCTCTCTCATCTCACATGTGTACCACATTGCTGCATCCTGCATCTTTTGCCCATTAAAGAGCTCAAGAGGGCCGGGCGCAGTGGCTCACGCCTGTAATCCCAACACTTTGGGAGGCCGAGGCAGCTGGATCATGAGGTCAGGAGTTCGAGACCAGCCTGGCCAACATAGTGAAACCCCATCTCTACTAAAAATACAAAAATTAGCCAGGTGTGGTGGTGGGCACCTGTAGACCCAGCTACTTGGGAGGCTGAGGCAGAAGAATGACTTGAACCGGGGAGGCGAAGGCTGCAGTGAGCCAAGATCGTGCCACTGCACACAGCCTGGGTGACAGAGTGAGACTCTGTCTCAATAAATAAATAGCTCAAGAATCTGTCCACATCTCTCCCTCCCACCTTCCTCAGGCTATCACCAACTCTGCCTGGGCTATTACAGCAGCATCTTAATTCATTTTCTCTCTCTGCTCCCCACCACATCCTTCCACGCAAACATCTACACTGGAAGCTCATGTCTCAAAAGATAATGCCTGACAGTGCTGCTTCGCTTTGTAAAGGCCTTCAGGGTCTACCTGAAGCTTCAAGGTTTGGGTTCAGCTCTCTCGGGGCCAACAGGGTCCTTCATGACCTCTACCTGCCCCTCCAGCTATCCCCTACCTCTTTCCATGAACCTGGATTTATGCCATCCTGAGGTATATTCGATTCCCAAATGCTTGCTGTTCCTGACTCCAAACAAAATTCCTCTTCCCCTCCTGGAAAAATGGTCACCATCCATCTGGTGCTCAGGCAGAATTCCTGAGAGTCATCCTTGATTCCTCTTCTCTTCACCCATGACATCAAATCCTTCTGTGGATAAGGTTGACTCTGCCTCCAGAACATGATCCCAAACTGCCATCTCCTGTCCACACCCACAGCTTCTACCTCCACCCAGGCCACCATGGCTTCCCACTGGGTCTGCCACAATACCTGGCCAACTGGTCTACCTACCCACTGCCACCCCTTACAAACAATTCTTCAGGTCCTCACCAGAGCCCACAGTGCTACGTCATCTGACTCCTGCTTACCTCTGTGGCCACATTGCCCCCTCCCATGGTCTCCCTCATGCACTGCCTTCTTCTGGTCCTCGTCGACACTGAGTTTGTCTCTGCCTAAAAGCCTTGCTGTTCCTTCTCCCCAAAATGCACTTCCCCGGGCTTTGTATGACTGACGCAGGGGGCAGCATGGAAGGTGATTTCTCTGAGATGGGCTCCCTGGCCACCTTTACGCCCCCATGCCCTCAGATCACATAATTCTTTCTTGTAGGCTTTGTGACACATCACCATTTAAAAGTCTCTTCTTTGTGAATTTGTTTATTTACTTGCTCATTCTCTGTTCCCCTAGAATATAAGCTTTCTGAAGGCAGGGACTTTCTCTATCTTCTTCACTGGGTCCTTGGGAACCTTGGGAACTTGTGCCTGGAACCCGGTAGGAGCTCAATATATGTGCTGAATGAATGAATGAATGAATGGAGTGAGTGAGTGAATGGACAAATGACTTGTCTGATTTGTATTCTTCTCACAACCTGGCCCCTTTACCTGCCTAACTCCTTCACATCCTTCAAGATCAGGTCTGCTGATCATCTCTCTTCCTCTGCTCTCTCTCTCTCTCTCTCTCTCTGTCTCTCTCTCTCTCTCTCTCTCTCACACACACACACACACAAACACGCACATACACAGTTTTTCCCCTCTCCTCTATCTCCCACAATAACACCCAGCATTTACTGCTTACTGTATGTTACACTCTGCCTTATGGTTATGGTCCCTCCCCCAAGCTCTGAGCTCCCTGGGGATGGGGCTATGCCCTTCCACTCTGCATCTCCTTCACCAGCTCACAGCCTGCACAGGGAAGGCACTGGATGAGTGTCTATTGAGTGAATAAATGAATGAATGAATGATGAATGAATGAATGAAGAATGAACATATTCTTCACCAATATTTAAGGCTTTGGTTATTCCTTAAGATATAAAATCAGATCCGTCTTACCCACCTCACTCAATCGGTCTCCAAGTTTGGGATTTTGAAGAGCATCCTAATTCCTTCCCAATGTTCCTCTAAGTCCGTATTCTCGCTGTAACAAGCAAACACTCTCTCTGAATCATTTTGGAACTGGAGCCTCCCTCGACATTGTATTTCTGATTGGTTGCTGTTTGTTTTGACAGTTGTCAGATTTTTTTTATTTATGCCAAGCTCTCCCTGGGGTTTAGTTTCCCGAATCCTCTCAATCGAGTGCCTAGAAAGAAGAGAAAATGACTTACCTGTAAATCTTTTTTATTGAAGGTGCACCATAAAACAGATCTTCTTTCACCTCTCCACTCTCTCCTGAGATTTAACGATTCTTGGCTTTTATTGTTGTCTTTACCCCTCATTTCAAAAAGAAAGAGCAGTGGGGGTTGGAGGGGCTTATCATATCCACCTGGGAGGAACGGCAGGATCACGCTTTCCTGCCAGTGAACCCAAACAATCAGAGCTTTCTAGGGGAGTTCTTGACAGTTTCATACCAGAAACACACACCAAGCTGAGGACATTTATTATATGGCACACATCCCTAGAGCCAAAATTACAGACCATTTTCTCCTACCTGTCCCTTCTGTTTGATTTCTGGCAGATGTCCACGGATAAAACCACCAAGTTCCACTAGGAAAGCAGAACCCTAAATATAAATAAGAGAGGACTTCTGGGGCTTCTACAGAGAGAAACTTTCCCTTGCTCATTATAACTAGTGTTTCCACACATGGTGCAGAGCAGAAGCATTTGCAGGAAAAGAATATTTCAGAAACTCAAACGAACATTCCTTCCTCCAGTCACCCTTACTCCCTCTCTAATATCCATCTGGGCGACCGTGTTGATTAAGGTCAATGCAAAATGGCTTTATGTTTTGCTCTATTTTTTCTCTGCATATGCTAGTCACTGTGTACCTTTCAAAAACATCTCGTCCCCAAATATCTATTCCTTTTTATAAATAGCACACATTATTCTCTGATTGTATAAGCAAAACATGCTTATTATAAAAACTTGAGTACGTACAGAAAAGTATATAGAAGATTTAAAATAATTCATAACGTTCTCGCCTGGAAATAATCATTGATAACACTTTAGGAGAAATACTGAAAGTTATTTGTCTTTTTTCTGTGAATGTACATATGTATTATGAGGATTCAGTTCACACTGTATACACAATTTTATGTTCTCTTTTTTTCTTAATACCATATCGAAATGCTTCCAAGTCCTTAATCTTTGAAACATGACTTTGAAAATATAATCATATTTTGTTAGCCTTAAAATCCATCCTAGATAAAATAAAACCAAAGACGTTATCAGGTGACAACAGTTACCCTGAAATAACAAGTGAGTCTAAAATTCGAAAATCAGAGTCAATTGCTGGGCATGGTGGTGCACGCCTGTAGTCCCAGCTACTCGGGAGGCTGAGGCGGGAGGATGGCTTGAGCCCAGGAGTTCGAGGCTGCAGTGAGCTATGACAGTGCCACTGCACTCCAGCTTCTTAAAAAAGAAAAGAAAGAAAGAAAATATCAAAGTCATTCATGCTAACTGCTTTTGAGTGGTCTCCATGGCAACTTGCCAACAGGCAAGACTGAGGTGAGTAGAAGGCAGCTAAGCCTGAGAATGTAAAACTCAAAGTCCAGCTGTGGGTCACCGTTACCTCTAGCTAGTGGGTTGACAAGCAATTTTTATTTCTTTATTGTTCCTTTCTGTATAGACTGTATGTGTTACCGTGAGCATGCCCTGCTTTTAAAATCACAAATAAAGTGTAACACTATGTTCATTTTGAACGGAAACAACACCTAATTATGTATTTACCCTGATTCTCTCATTCATTTTCTCTCCCTCTACACACACACACACACACACACACACACATATCCCCACTCTCATCCAGTTCCCACTTTCACTTCCCACTACTCCAGGCACACAGGCTCCACCCCTGCCCACTCCTTCCTCCTTCCCCCAGGTCCTGGACGGGAGGGGTGGGAGTTGGGGAGCTTTCATCTGATCCCCCAGTCTCTTCATATCTGGCTCCAGTTTACTGTCTCAAACCTGATGCCAGGATGCCTCCTCAGAGGAGTGACAGACTTTGACAGAAACAGGCTTTGGCATCAGAAGAGCTCTGTCACTTCCTATCTATATGGCCCCAGCCAAGTCACTTAGCCTCTTTGAGCCTCATTTTCCTCATCTATAAAATGAGGATAACCAGTTTGCAGGATTATACCATGACTAAATGAAGTCGGCTTGCACCGAATAAATGCCTGTCACCCCATACTGCGCTGACCATCTTTGGGGTCTTTGTTTTACTCTAAAGCTGTCAGTTTTTCCTCTGGCCAAGACTGAGGCCAAGATCTCCCCACGTATAGCTACAGACTCTTAATCAACTGGGACTTTTCTGCTTGAATAAAGTGACACCTTTTAACATTGGAACCGGAAAATCTCCCAAAAGCAAACCATTGAAGAGACAAAAACCAAAACATGACTCAACTCTTTAAAAAGCTCCCCCTTAGTTGTTTAAGGTTCTCAGCTTGTCTTTGCAGGGATATCCACAAAAATGTCATAAATATTGTCTTCATTGATAAAGAAGAGAACAGACCAATGAAACCATGACAGTATCTATTCTCCGATCTTACATTTTGTTCAATTATTAGAGGAGGAGAGGGAAGGAGGAGGAAGAGGAAGGAGGAAGAAGAGGATAAAAATAAATACTGGTATGGATCAGATGATTCTTTCAAAAGAGAGGGGAAATAAAAAGAAGCAGTAGTCAAGAATGAGGTAGGTCGATGCTGTCATCCTTTGCCAGAGAAGCAAGCTTGGATCGAGCATTTAAGTGACTCCTTCAGAGACTAAAACAAGTCAGCATCAGAAATAGGATTCGAATTTTGAGCTCACAGTTAGTCTGCAACTGATACTAATTTTAAAGGTGTCGCCGGGTATGGTGGCTCACGCCTGTAATCCCAGCACTTTGGGAGGCTGAGGCGGGTGGATCATCTCAGGTCAGGAGTTCGAGACCCGCCTGGCCAACATGGTGAAACCCCCATCTCTACTAAAAATACAAAAATTAGCTGGGTATGATGGCAAGCACCTGTAATCTCAGCTACTCGGGAGGCTGAGGCAGGAGAACTGCTCGAACCCAGGGGGCGGAGGTTGCAGTGAGCTGAGATTGCGTCACTGCACTCCAGCCTGGGTGACAGAGTAAGACTCCATCTCAAACAAACAGAAAAAAGGTGTCAATGCAAAACCAGGTTTTAAGGTAGCTAGCTCAATCTGCTAAATTTTTCATGCCTGTGCCTTTAAATTCCCAAGTAGCATTTCCTGTTTCTGAGTAGCACTTGTTCTCTTTTTTTTTTTTTTTCTTTTTTCCAAGAAAATGACTAGAGGTAGAAAAGCACGTACAGTCAATTACTTTCAGAAGGTTTTACTAAAAAATATTTTTTTAAACTGCAGTTAAAGATAAACATGATTTCTCCAAAGCCGAGCTACTTTATCAAGTCAGGCAAAGCATAATACAGTTTCCTTTTAAAAACCCAGATTAGCTGCTATCATCGGTGATGATCTGGATGTAATACATTACAGTTTGCAGAATCAAGCAGCCTAGTACCTACTTGGAAGCATCCTTCATTCATTGGACAATACTTACTGCACTCAGAGTTTGTGAGGGTGCTATCTAGACCCTGGGGACACCAACCAAGGCAAAGAAGGGGTACCAGTGCCCTGCCCTGAAGGACCCTGCCCTCCAACAAGAGAATGTGGGTGGGAGGACATACAATCTCAAGGCAGAATGTCATCACCAACTTACAGAGTGAAGAAAGGCCATCTCATCCAACCGTCAATTGAAATGAGGCCCAGAGAGTGGATGCAACTTGTCCAAGGTCGCACAGCAAGTTGCGTTTTCAGACTCTCTATCCAGTGCTCTCTCCTCTGTATACAGAATAAACTTTAATTTTTGAAACGTGCTACATTCCCCTGCTGGGGATTGCACAAAGCCTGGTGGAGCCTCAGAGATCCCTTATTGACACCTTTTACGTTAGGATCCTAACCTCAAAGAATGTTACATCTGGAAGGGACCCCAAGGATTAATCTGTGGTTCTTTCTTCCTTTTCTTTTTTTTTTTTTTTTTTTTTTTTTTTTTTTTTGACACAGTGTCGCTCTGTTGCCAGGCTGGAGTGCAGCGGCGCAATCTCAGTTCACTGCAACCTCCAACTCACTGGTTCAAGCGATTCTCCTAACTCAGCCTCCCCAGTAGCTGGAATTACAGGCACATGCCACCACGCCCAGCTAATTTTTGTATTTTTAGTAGAGACAGGGTTTCACCATGTTGGCCAGGATGGTCTTGATCTCCTGACCTTGTGATCCACCTGCCTCAGCCTCCCAAACTGCTGGGATTACAGGCATGAACCACTGTGACCGGCCTAATCTATGGTTCTTAATCAAGGGGTATCTCACCCCAGAGTCACAGAATCAGGCCCTAGGGTTGGGGATGATTCAAGCCACCTTGAAGGTGTTCATCGGACCTTTCCCAAAGAACTAGGGGCAAGTTTGGAGGGGGGACCAGCAAGATGAAATGGCAACTGGGAATTCAGAAAGAGGAAAAAAAGGGAAAGAAAGATACCCAGGGAGGGAGACAGTTTAGGCTGGTCTTCACTGGCAAAGGTTTTGGAGTCAGACAGACCTGGGTTCAAGTCCGGGCTCCAACCCTCAGCCTGGGTGCTGTAGGTAAGCAGGCTGACCTCTCTGTGCCTGTTTTCTCATGTGGAAAAGAGAGCATCCCCCTACCTCATAGGTTTGCTACAGGGCTCAGGGCGCTCAGGGGGATGATGTGGGGTACCTGGCATTCAGTCAGTACCGTACGAAGGACTGTCGTTGCTCTCACCACCAGGAGCGGGCTGGGAAGGTGAGAGAAGCCTCTGCCTGGTTCATAGCTTTGCCTCGGGCCATCCCTGCTGCCTCCCACACAGACTCCTAGGATTTGCTGGTGTTGCATGATTTAGAAATGATTCTAGAATTCCAAATCATGGATTCCAGGGAACCAGGACCCCTGATATCTGAAGCTCAAAGGCAAGAAGGTCCCCTCTCTGGGGATCCCCAAGGCTGTAAGAACAGATGCATGTTAATGAGATGAGGTGAGGAGTCGTCCCTTAGGAACTGTACAGTCTAGAATCTGCAAACCAAAAGGCCCTTCAAGAACTTTGGGACCAACCCCATCTTGGAGGGCCAGAGTGAAACAACTTGCCCAAGGTCATACAGAGCACTATTGGGGTTAATGAGACTGAACCCCAGTCTCTCTTCATCCTGACAGCAGAAATAATAATTGGGATGATGAGAGGATTCAATGAAATTTTGCAGTAGAGCATTTTGCACACTGACTGGCCCACAAATGTCTTAATGAATTATACTAATAGTAGTTATCATTATCATTTTTATTACCATCGTCATCATCATCATCATTATTGTCAGTTTTTAAGCAATTCCCCCCCAGACACTCAGCTGAGTCCCTTTCAGTGGCTCAACCTTCACTCTTCAGTCTCAGTCTTTCTGTGTCAATTACCAGCTAATGAAGTCACGGGGGCAGACTCTGGCCAGTCACTCCTGTCCTAACTCACTCGGTGCTCACAATGAGTGCAATCAAGTAGATATTCCTGCTCCCCCATTTCCCAGAGAGGGAAACTGGGCACAGGACAATTAAACCATATGCCCAAGATTACACCAGCAGGAAGGGGCAGAGCTGTGCTTTTAGTCGAGGCTGCCTGGCCTCGGCATATGGATGCCAAATGCAACACTCCCTCATCACACTTCCATATCTTCTCCAGAGTTATGCCTCCATTAATAATCCACATTCTGGGCTGGGTGTGGTGGCTCACGCCTGTAATCCCAGCACTTTGGGAGGCTGAGGCAGGCAGATCACTTGAGGTCAGGAGTTCGAGACCAGCCTGGCCAATGTGGTGAAATCCCATCTCTACTAAAAATACAAAAATTAGCCCAGCATGGTGGTGCATGCCTGTAATCCCAGCTACTCAGTAGGCTGAGGCAGGAGAATCTCTTGAACCTAGGAGGTGGAGGTTGCAGTGAGCCAAGGTCGTGCCACTGCACTCCAGCCTGGGAGACAGAGTGAGATCCTGTCAAAAAAATAAATAAATAATTAAAAATAAATAAAAATCCATGTTTTGAAGACTGAATGAGAAAGAGGACTTGTCTTACCTTTTTTTTTTTCTTTTTTTTTTTTTCTTTTTTTTTCTTTAGACGGAGTTTTGCTCTTGTTTCCCAGGCTGGAGTGCAATGGCGTGATGGGTTCAAGCAATTCTCGTGCCTCAGCCTCTCAAGTAGCTGGTATTACAGGCATGCACCACCACACCTGGCTAATTTTTGTATTGTTAGTAGAAACGGGTTGTCTCCATGTTGGTCAGGCTGGTCTCGAACCCCCGACCTCAGGTGATCCACCCACCTCGGCCTTCCAAAATGCCGAGATTACAGGCATGAGCCACCACGCCCGGCCC